ATATATATATATATATAACCGATTTGTAAAAGGACCCATTCTGCTTGAACTAAACTGGAGTTTGTTGAACTAGCAATGATGAAACCGAAGAGAGCCTTCTCTGAGATAAAACTGCAAAGCAAAGACCATATCACAGTACTACAAGAATTATGTCCCGGACTATTTCGCTGCACCTCAACATGGTACATAGACAGTTGGGAACACCAAACTTTGGTCAACCTGGTGTTTCGTCATCAAAATGTATCGAGATACGCCTTACGACGGGGTTTTGTTGAAATGCAGCAAAATATGCTGGGACATAAATAGTGCAGTATCGTGAAATGGTATTTTCTTTTGAAACATGACAGTCTGTTAATTGTACTAGCGTCCTCAGGGACGAATGGGAGAAGTTGCTTACTTGATTAAGGACTTATGAGCCTAAGGCAGGCAGCAGTGGTCTAACGAGTCACGGTCGTATTTCTATAGAGCAATCAACTCTTGCTCTGCTTTTCTCTCTCACTCGCTGGTGGATGCTCGGGGGCGTGGCTTGTTGGTTGTACGCAACAGGACTATATCTACCCGGTGGATGAAGTTTTGGCTCAGAAAAGTTATCTTGTCGATCGATGGCGAGATCAAGAAAACAAATGATTTTCTGCACGATATGAGGATATAATTTCTCGTTGCACTCGGCTCAAGTCCAATTCCATCATCTGCCTACCTTTCTGTACCGATCGACAGTTAATGAGTATCTACCATGTTGATCAACTAGTGTGGTTCGATTTCATAATACCTCAGCACAGATTACGCCAAACATGCACAGCTCTCACAGAAGTCTCGTCATCGTAGCACAATTCTGCTCCCCCTTCGATCTTTTACGTCTCGTTCGTAATCTGGTATCCAATGAGCTGTACGAAAATGCCCGATGATGAAGCGCAAAAAACGACGCTGCTAGGAAACGTTCATCCTTATGATAAACCGTTATACATCGAATTCACACGGATTGCTTAGCGACGACGGGTGAGTCAAGTCTAGAAGTAAAACAGCGATCACACCAAATCAGAAATGAAAGCAAACTAAAAAACCTGATTACCACAAAACTGACTGAGGTCATTCAAAACTACAAGGAAGGAGGGGGACAATAGGAATGATTTTAGGACTATATACAGAATAACGCGACTCACTTTGATAATCCTGTAGATGACCACCAAACAGATTTTCCGCACTTGCAGACCGAGTACGGCCGGTTAAACGACGACCAAAGTGTCTGGAGAAGAATGCAGATCAGAGAACATTTCAAATGGTGGTGGGGACGACCAACCGAACGAATGACAAAAATTCGACGACCCCGAGCAATAATGCTGATTAGACAAAAATAAAAAAAGATACAATGCTGTCCGGCAACATATCTCTGTAAATACCAAGATTTACTTATTGCGCTTTCGACAACCACACCCCGATTATCGGTAATTTGTGATAAACATGACAGAACCTCCTCCGTACGCTCGAAGGCTACTTTTTTAGATGATTTATACCAGCAATGCAACTGGGACCGTCGAGATGGAGCCCCTACTAGTCACTGAATAACATATCGTTGGTTTCAGAAATCCAGTTGGTGCAAATGACACAAGCCGAGCATCGACAGTAATGACTGTTATGTATGATAATAATTTCATCTACCTGAATAGTAAGTAGGGTGTATATGGCAATCTGCTGGACGTGGCGGGAACTCCCACAACGGAGTGATGATAACCATAAGTACGCTGACACACCGAGTCAAAGCACTCTGGACTTCAGATGAATCTTTGCACCTTCTTGACACAAGCCGATTGATCCCGGCCGGCAGCGAGCAGATAAAATACGATTCGTAACGTGACTCAAACTCTGTATAAGCTGATGCAAACAGGTCGCATCGGGGTATCCAGATTGGGGGCCTCGGGATCAGTCTCCCCGATGGCCAGAGACAATGGTTGGTATCACTGGGTGTTGCAGGTGATGGCACGCACGCATTTGATGAATTTCTTCACAGATTTAGTACAAATGCATTTAGAACCTTTACGTTGGTACTGCTTCCTTCGTCCTAATTTTACCACCTTATCCTTCATCGAAAATGGTAGCCAAAATTACGAGATGGAAGTTCGAGAACAGCCGTTGTATGTGCTACACCGAAATGGTTGATTGCTTAGAGAACAAAAAGGATCGAATAGTGAGATCACAAAATTAGGAAAGTGATAAAGCGACAATACATCATGCAGCATCACGATTAGTGTATCTGCTTCTAACTGAGACTAACCACAGATATTTTTACCATCAATGGTATTATTCACGCATTATACTCTGGTTGCTGAACATCCACCCTTCGAGGTGTATAAAGCGATTCCTTAACTTGACGTGTGTATCGGTCTCCCGTTGTATGCACAGGTCAACCAGCCATCTTTAGAGTACTTATTCCAACTCGAGATATTTTGAAGATAAGAAAAAAAGGTTACGTGACAAACGTACTGCACCTGTGCGATCAATGAGTAGTGTCGAAAGCACGAACAAAGTCCGCCCAAACCGAGTCGGGACTGATTGTCGTGCCAAGGATTAACTGAAGTGGTTCTATTGCGAGCAATGCAAGTCGTAGTTAACTGTGTCGAGGGGTGTGTGTATGTGTGTGTGTGAGAGAGAGAGAAAGAGAGAGCGAGAGAGAGAGTGGAGACAGCGACTATATGATACAGCAGCACGGAACACACGCCCATGAGTTCACTACAATCATTTTCAGCAGTATCAGCAGCAGCAGTCTGATTCGAACAACTCTTGGAAGTGGAACAGCACCAAACGAACAGTCGGATGGCCAACACAGTGACACAAAGTTACTCACCAAACCCACCACGATCCCTGTCATTTTATCTCTTCGATTGGGATACAACAATATGAAACACAGTGATCAGTATGACCAACAAGGGATGCTAAGGAACTGAACAATATTCGCTGGAACACAACTTTGATGTATTTTATTTTGTTAACCACATTACTTCAACTGTATATTACATATACATATAACGCATACTTTCAGGTTACAACCTTTCAGTTTTTGAAATACCCGTCACATGTAGTAGTCACCGGTTTTCTGTGTTGTTAACCTTCTTTAATGCTTGACAGCTGGAACATTTTCATACCGGTCTGTCGACCAATATGTTAAACGCCAATGACAAGGTCTATTTCCAATTTTCTTTAATTTAGCAAGTGAGATCGCCTTAGAAACGCAAATCTCAGAGGACATTCATTTACACTGATGCTCAGGACAGTTAGATAGATTTCCAGTGTTCCTCTTTCGTCACCAAAGTATGTACAATCTGGAACTCTCCTCTGTCCTGTGTCGCTGGTGCCCCAAACCATCGACCCACTCGAATTACAGCTCCATGAAACATTGAAACAGCTTACGGTCCAACACTCGTAAGGGAATATGAATATCGATCATTTTATTTGCATTACTATCCGAACCCAGATACCCCAGTGGAATGAATGAGCTTCAGCTGTGCAATTCACACACTCGACTGTGTGACAAACTTCCACGAAAAGTTACGCAACAACATCTGGTCATTCGGCGCTCAGACACACTTTAAACCATGCGTTCACTTAGGGAACCAGGTGGCACAACAAGGTTGTTAATGCCCGAACTAGTACGAGTCATGTGTTTAGCTTTCTGTATATTGCTGGACCTGTGGCACAGATAATTTCGATCGGAGAAGACTGCTCACCGACCCTGAAACGATAACTTATTGTGAGCATCTTTAACTCGACAACATATTCGTTGACACTATGCTTGTACCCAAGCCGGTGGTCAGTGTGTTATATGATGTGAATGAGCAAAGATGTATTGTATTAGATGTGATGTGTAATAGATGTTCATCACAAAAAAATACTAAAACTGCTCTACAAAAGGTGCATTTAAAGAAAACGCAGAATCAAATAAAAATGTAGAAATAAGAAACGGGCACAGGAGAGGGGGAATAAGTCATACAAAGAACTACATTGGCATGGTTTGAGTTCAGTTTAGCTTATACAAACAACTGTTTTGTTTACTGCCTTTCCGCTGACCAATTTGGATAAAGCTGTGACACAGTATGCCTGCAAGTTTCTCTGATGGTCAGTGGATGGAATTTAACTGACCGATTATGTATACAAACCAGCATGTGGAATTGCGCTAACAGAAAGCATGTTAAAGGCCTAAGGGTGATAGATCGACTTTGTGGAAGTGGGGGTTTCTGAAAAGACTATGTAAATATCTTAAATGAGAACTAGACAAGCAGTGGATAAGCCTAGGGAACTGCGATCGCACGAGTGCCCCCTGATGGGAGTGGTTCATAAACGAAGCATACGTTAAATTTTGGTCCTCACCTAACATTCAGAAGCTACTACCCAACAGATAACAACAGTATATGCTATACATATCGGCCGACCCAGGGTGAGGGTAGTTGGAACGAGGAAGAGCGTTCCAGTAGGACGTTTCTATGCTGCCTTGCAGTTGGCATTTGGCTCCACAAAGGTTAGATGTTTATCTAGTAATAAACAAAGTCATAATAGTGCCGGAGACGTCAGGTAATATACCACATGCGCATGAATGTTACATGGATAACTGGAGGAGGGTAGCTTGAAAAACGCGAGGGATCCCAGTGAAGTTGGAAGCGACCTACGGCTGGAACTGTGAGCGATCACTGTCTCCACTGACCTCGGGATATCAACAGGTACAGACATGGTGGGATCGACAACCGATTTATCTAACTAGGAAACCGAATGATTCTCTAGCAGGAGGCAGTCGTAAGCGAAAAGATGATATCTAAGTTGCTTTGATGCGAGATATAAACATCTAAAACGGAACAGGCTTGAAATACAGATTATATCACAGTTCTATCAACAGAAATGTGAACTGTTTAGTGAAGACCAGGTGGCAAATCTAAGCCTAGTCAGTTCCACCACCAATAGCAGCATTGCATTTCTGGCACAATTATAGCTATTTCTCCAATCCGGCAACCCAAGAGAGGAGTTTGATGTTAGGTAGGCTTAATCACCCGTTCTTATGTGTAACTGAAAAATTCCAGTGGCCAAAGATCAAACGAATCATGTGAGTTTACGATCAGCAGCAAGGTTCGCAACGTCACATACATATGCATATGCACTTACAGGAACTGAAATCTGGTCAAATCCAAGATTGACCAAGTGGAAGTGAAACGCGACTAGAAGAAATGTCTACAGATTGAAGTTACATTCAAGCGAAACAATTTATTAGTGCTGCCTCAAATTTATCTACACTTCTCGGTTTCTTCCTAATATCAAGTGTGATAATCACACAAGACATGGAACTTGTACGAAGATAAGGTATCGTAAATCTGATTACAGGCTCCGCATGAGTGAAGAAAAATCGTTGGGGTTGAATAGTTTTCAAGTCACTGCATTGGTGAGCACAAAAGGGATGAAAAATTGATATCCTTCATTGGATTCAAATGACAACAATGTAAGGAATGTTTAGGCGGATACCAGTATGTACGTAAGCGAGGAAAGAGAGAAAGACAGACAGATCGAAAAAATGACCGGCAACAGAGCAGTGCAACAAAAACGACGAAAATTAAATCCAGTAGCCATCTCCGTAAACTAATGTATGTTGACATGTCAAGAGGTAGATGGGTGACAGAAGATGGAAATATGCAACACGGTTAACTAGGAGAATCGTACAACTAGGCCAAATGCTACAAAATTAGATTGATCGAGGACTCACTAGACCGTAGGGAAAGACTCAGTTTGGGCGGAGGTGCTGAAGAAACCCTATTCACTGCCTTCTCGTGGCGGACGTGATTTCATACCAAAGTGAGAGAATATCTGGGGCTATAACCGAGTCGGTGAACCACTGCCAATTCGTCTACTGGATTTGGCTAGCAACCCTGCTTTCAAACAACCAAGGAGGAGGGAGGAGGTTACGAACCACACACATCATTCTGGTTGTGGCATTGGTCACTGGCGAAAGTGGGTATCGATGTGTACTGGGTAAATTGGACGTATGACCCAGTGCAAAGGGTGTATGAACCGATGAACAGGATACCGACCTCCGATGGATGGCGGTTCTCACACACCGGCCCTGCTGCCTTGCGAGTAAAACTTTGGCTAATCAAAGGCTCTGGTTGTGAACTCTCCAAGAAAATTCATTCTCAACCTAGCAGTATCCCACCCACGAGCAA